CCCCGCGGGGCCCGCCTCAGAGCCGGGGTCGCGTTCCGAAACGGGGAGCTCACCCAGCAACTAAAGAGAAGACAGCAGCAGATGTGCTCCACAGCTGGAAAGCCCTGGGAGTTCAGGGGATGTTCCTCCTCCGTCTCCCTTCCAGCCCAGACCTCGATGAGGTATTGCTTGATGCAAAACCCAAGAAGAGTTGGGTCGGAGAAGACCTTCCGCGGTCCGAGTCTCTCGACGAGGGCACGGTCAGCGTTTAGGGGCCGGGCGGCAGTCCCGGGGGGAGACCCCACCGCCAGCTGTGCCAGCTGCAGGCCCTCAGGAGCGGATCCTAACATAGTTGCGCTGCGCATCGTTCAACGGCAAAAAAAAAGAAAAAAAGATTGGAAGGCAGCTGTGAAAGCAGTAGTGTGGTTTGTGCTTTACTTGTTAAAAATAAACGCGGAGGCTTTAAGCCTTCAGTCTCTGTTTGGTTTACACAATTTCGAGGGATTAGCTTTTTCCATCCTCCTCGGAGAGCAACTGGTGAGTGTCTATTTCGCATCTGGGGAAACGAGTGTTAGGCTGGAGGCCTGACATTTGTTTTGTGTCTATGGAGTTCACCCTTCGTGGGGCCGTCAAATTAAATAGGGTAACTGGCTTTTCCAAAGCAGCAGATAATTTATTGGTCATTAAAAATCCGAGTGGCTGTGCAGGCTGCTTGCGCTGGAGTCTCTCGTTGGTGCCAGGGCGTAAGAATTTAGTAAACACTCCTCACGGACACGGGCAAAGGCTGCAGATGGTTGAGACCCACAGGGCTGGTTCAGGACCTCTGCAGTTGCTGTTGGCTTTCTCTATACTCGCTGTGCTTCTCCTACGTAATTTTGATGGGTTTGGGGTTTTTTTTTCTACCCAAAACGGGTTTTGAAAGCCTAAGCTTTTAGTCCTGTCAACCAAGGACCGCCTTGCTTTGTCAGAAGCAACGGTTTGCTGGAAGTTGTGGCTGGCATGGTGTGTCTTCTCGCTGGCTTTGCCACTTGTGCTGATCCTAAAACATGCTCATGGGTCTTGTCCTGGCATGGGTGATAAGATCAAGGTTTTCCCATGTGAAGACTGCCTGAACAACAGGCAAATGCCTGCAGTCAGAGTGTCAGACCACCCCTGTTCGCCAGTCACCCTGACAGCTGAGGAGCAGGTAACGGAATAGGAATGCAAACAAGAACTGCAGATGAGGCCATAGGCTTTTAAGTCAAAGCAAAATGCTGTTTCAGCACTGATTAACAGAGGTGCAGCCAAGCACTTGCAGTTGACAGAAGCTTTTTAGAAAGACTCACAACTTTAAGTACCTCTAAATAATACTTTACTGGCTTAATAAGATAGCTAAGTGTCGCCAAAGTCCAGAGTCTTCTTTCTGTCTGGTCTGGGGGTGCTACCTGTTTACTGTCAAACCCTTCTACTGGCTTATCATTTTCATTCTGGGTGCATATGGTGTGTTTTCTGGAGGTATTTCTGTTGTGGAAGCCAATGGCATTTGGTTCCTGAAAAGTGGGAGAGAGGACTGGTGTGACACTGCAGGCCTGACAACTAGCATGTGAAGAGGACATATGAACAGAGAGCTGAAGGTGTGTTTTGGTTTTTTGGTTTTTTTTTCCCAAAGCCATAAATGCCCTTATAGGTGACAATTTTGCATGTGTCAACAACTTCCAAAACAGGATATGAGGCATGGGGTTTGATGGGACTCAGGAGAGAGGAAAAGATGACAGAGACCTGATTTCAGAAGACCATTGAGGAGTCTCTGAATCCTGTGGAAACGAGTGGCATTTCAGCTTTTCAGCACCTTTGTGCAACTGAGTCCAAGTGCCTAGACACCATAGAGCAGATCATCCCACTGGTGGCATGGGTGAGGAAGCAGGCTCCCCCAGTATGTTTCCTGGAGTGAGGAAGGGGTTACTGGGCTCAGGACTGCTGTCTCTGCTTCTGGAGTAGAAGAGCAGCCCAGACCTGCAGTGAGGATTGCTCTGGAGAAGAGCACACCTCATCTGAGCTGGGTCCTTGTCTCAAACAGCAACCCATCAGTGACTTGGTTTGCTTCTTCGCCCCTCCTTTCAGCACTCTCCCGAGAGCTGAGATGATACTTGATAACCAGTAGAAAAACTACCAAATAAATAGCTTGTTAACACAAATATTTGTAGCTATTGCTAAAGGTTCTCGGGGAAACATTTGGATTGTTTTCTTCATTTTCACAGAATATCTTCCAAATGTTTTTGTGTTTGCTCTTGGAAATGTACATAAATCTGTTCAATTATGCTAATCTGGTGCCGTGAAAAGAAGTTTAACTTTGTCATTAAATTATGGATGAACTTTACTGTTAGTTTGGATTGCAGTCAATATGAGGTATTGCTGTTTTAAATTAATAATGCATTTTCTCATATTTTCCCTCATGGCTCATGAAACACTGAATTTATAATGATGGGTTTGCTGTAGTGTATGCTAAGAATTTATAACTTCTCTTTCTGTCAACTTTTTCCTCAGCAATCAGATGCATATTTTTAAAATGCAGGCTTTATTACGTAAGAAGTGTTTATTTCTAATGTAGTAAACAAGACCACAATCCTGTGAACATTCGTTTGTGTTTAACAAGCTTAATGAAGTGGCCAAGGAAGCTACAGCTTCCCCATTGGTATCACTTGAAGGTGGGCCACAGAGCCGCCTGCAGAAACCGGGCTTCAACATTTTTTTGTTCCATTTGGCTTCGTGACGTGCCAAAACAAGGCACTGGAGATGGGCACGGGATGCTCTTCACAGTATCCTGTGGATCTCCCACATGCAAATGCCTCTGTGCTATGTCCTGATGCAGGCCTGCTGTCTCAGTAGGCATTTGACACATTTGCATGGAGGCGTGAATACAGTAGCAAGATTTTAATCAGGTATATCTAATAGCGATACGTACACAAAGCTTAGAGGCACAGCTCAGTAGGAACTATGGCTAAGGAGAGTAGCAAAGCCTAAGCTCATGTTTTATAACACATGGGTAATGGATACTCTTCATATTGCCCGAACTGAAATGCATAAATTCTGCTAATCTGTGTTTCTTCTCACCTTTGCCATTGACTAGGTTGTATCCTGACAATGTGACCTGAAAAATGGGCAAGCTGTGACTCCACACTCAGGCGAATCCAGCAGTGACT